CCTACTTCACAGATGAGGAAACTGAGGCCCAAGAGGTTCAGTGATTTGCCCAAGGTTATAACAGCAAGAATTTGTGGTGAAACAATTCAAATCCAGGTTGGTCTTAATCAGTGAGCTCTCATGTGTGATAGAAATTAGATACCCCTTTGAGGATTTTGGGAGCCAGTGGTGAATGTACTTACTTTAGGCTGTAAATACTCTGTGTAATTTCTTGGTCATTTTGTTCTTAGAGAGGTGGTGATCTTAATATTAAGTTTTTACTTTATTAAGTGAAAGTTTTTACTTATGTTACAACTAAAACAATTCTTTAAACTTTCATAACTTTAAGTTGAAGTTTTGAATCATAAGATTAGTTGAAAAAGATGTAATTGCCAGTGTATCATAAATACTGGTATTTTAAAATAAAGCTGTTTTGTTACTTAAGGAAAGCCCTTCTAATTTAGTGCATTGTAATAGTGTACTGAGCTGATATCCACCATGATCCATGTAAACATAGGTGAACTATGCAAATGTTTTTCCTCTTGAAAATGTATTTGTGTTACATTTCCTTTACAACACTTTATGCTAATAAATGTTTATGAACCTCTTTTGATCCTTTTATTTCTTGTAAATTTTTTTATAGAACTTGAAGTATTTAATTTGCTGTAACCATAAGGCATCAAATGTTCATTTTTTTTTCTGGACTATTTCACATTGTTACTACTAATTAGTTGACCAAAACAGCAAATTCTATACATTGATACTTGCAGTAAAATTTTACTGGAATTGTACCTCCTAAAAAAAATGGGAGAAAACATAATGGCCTCAATTAAAGGAGGGTTGCATTTAGCAATCTTTCAAATTGTTCTCTTGTTTTTGTGGCTTTCCAAAAATGTTGACAAATAGATTTAATATATTTAAGTTATTGAATATAGTGGACCAAACTATTGAGGATAGGTGAGAGATGCCTCTTGTGTAAGTGTGATAAGGAAAGATGGTAAGAACAGGATACACTGCAGGTGTGTACACAGGTATGTTGATTTTATGAAAATCAGGAGGAACTTCATCTAGAAAGCAATTTTTAAAGTTATTTTGACAGGGTTGCTGGCCTCAAGCAGTGCTCCCACCTTGACCTCCCAAAGTGCTGGGATTACAGGCGTGAGCCACCACACCCATCCTAAAAAGCAATTCTTGAACTATTCGTGCCTGTATGCTCCTTGGAGAATTTTTGTGGGTACCCTTGGCATACAGGCAGGTACCTCAAATGGAAGACAGCTACTGAAGAAATCTCACTGGAAGACATCAGATGTTTATCCTAGCACTGTTAACTGCAAATAAATATGTCCATCAGATGAATGTATTCTCAAGTATAATACTGTGTAGCAGTTAAGTGAGTTGCAAAACAAAAGGATATGTGTGAAAAAAAAGTTGACAAGTGAGGACTATAGTGGGGCATGAGGGGTTATGCATAAAAGGCAATGAAGATAAAGATTTGATTTTTTTTTTTTTTAATGTTGTCAACCCAAGGAGGTAAATATGTAGCTGTTAGATTCTTTGTGCTTGGTATTTTTAAAATTTCCCCAAAATATGTCTGAAACAAATGTGGGAAGAATATTGTGACTAACTTGGTGAAAGGACAAAGCATTAATAAAAGGTGCCAGTGAACAGCCATACTCAAATCATGCCATCTAAAATA